CAAGAATCCTGTCAACTGCCTCCCAATGCTGGACTCGTGCAGCATGCATGTATTGACTTACTACACCCACTGCATAGGAGATGTCTGGTCTTGTCATACACAAGTATAGCGGCCGACCCACAAGTCTCTGATATCTCCCAATGTCCTTTATTGGTTCACCTTCTGATGCATTGATTTTACGGTTCTAATCAATAGGGGTGTTGATTGCCTTTGTTCCAAGCTTCCCTGTCTCTTGAAGGAGGTCCAAGACATACTTCCTTTGAGAGATAAAAATTCCATGTTTCGATCTTGCAACTTCAATGCCTAAGAAATACCTCGTTCTCCAAGATCCTGAATTTCAAATTCCTTATGTATGTTTCTTTTCAGACTATCAATCTCACTCATATCATTCACAGTGACAACAATATCATCCACATAAACAATTAGGACTGACACCAAAGATCCCCTGCGCTTCACAAACAAAGTGTGATCAGATTGAGTCTGAGTGTATCCAAAAGCAATCAAGGCCTTTCTGAATCTGTCAAACCATGCTCTAGGAGATTGTTTCAAGCCATAGAGTGACTTCTTAAGCTTGCATACCATTCCCTTTTCAGTATCATTGTAAAAACCAGTAGAAAGATCCATATACACTTCTTGCAATTCCCCATTTAGGAAAGCATTCTTCACATCCAGTTGAAACAAGGGCCAAGAGTATGAGGCAGCAAGAGAAAGAAGTATCCGAACGGAGGTCATCTTTGCAACTGGCGCAAAGGTCTCTAAGTAATCAATGCCATAGGTGGTCTGTGTGTACCCTTTTGCAACAAGTATTGCCTTGTACCTTTCTATACTTCCATCTGCCTTATATTTTACTGTGTAAACCCATCTGCATCCAACTGTCTCCTTGCTTTCTGGTAGATCCACAATGTCCCATGTCTGATTCTTAATCAAAGCTGTCATCTCTTCCTGCATAGTTGTCTTCCACTCAGGTTTGGAGAGAGCCTCACTAACACCCTTGGGTATAGACACTAAATCAAGAGATGAGAGAAAAGCACGGTAGAAAGGAGAAAGTCCACTGTAGAATAAGTACTGTGAAATACAATGAGCAGTAGACTTTCTCTTCCCTTTTCTGAGAGCAATCGGGAGATCAAGGTTATCTGTAACAGAGTTAGTAGGATCAATGGGAACTGAAACAATAGCGGGACCAAGAGGAATACCTGAATCCATGGCAGTCGAATCTGGAGTCTCCAAGGAATCAACAGGAAGTGATGTGAGTTCTGCTGTAGTGGAATCAACCTCCTTGTGAAGTCTCTGTCGTAAGTAATGCTGAGAAGAAGAACGCAAAGGAGGTGGCAAGGTAGCTGCCACAGGGTGGTGGTTAAGCACAGGAGTAGACATAGGGACTGGAACTGGGAGAGGAATAGATTGCTAACTTACTTCCCCAAAACACTCCCCTTGAGAAGGATTCTTTAAGAAGAAGTACGTGGATTCAAAAAAGGTGACATCCATGGTAACATATCGGCTCCCAGAGACTGGACCATAGCAGCAGTACCCTTTCTGATTCTCTGCATATTCAAGGAAGACACACTTCTTGGTCTTAGGGTCAAGCTTCGAGCGGTGAGAACCAAGGATATGTGCAAAGCAGACACACCCAAACACCCTGAGAGGAATATGAAACATCTGCCCCTGAGGGAAAAGAAGACTAAATGGAGTGCTGAATCCAAGTATACGAGAGGGCACCCCGTTGATCAGATATATTGCTGTGAGAACTGCATCACCCCAAAAACGAACCGGAACTGTAGATGTGATCATCATGCTTCTTGCAGTCTCAACAATGTATTTGTTCTTCCTTTCTGCAACACCATTCTGTTGTGGACAGTAGGGGTAACTGCTCTGATGGACAACACCATATTCTAACGGATATGAGGCAAGATGTCTTTCAAAATATTCCCTGGCATTGTCAAATCTGAACACCTTTATCCTTGTTCCAAACTGTGTTASTACCATCTGATGAAATTGCCTCACCAAGGATGGTACCTCATCGCGGGATTTCATCAAGTAAATCCAAGAGTATCGAGAGAAATCATCCACAAATAAGAGAAAATAGCGATAGCCTCCCATAGAAGGAACATGGTAAGGGCCCCACACATCCGAATGAATAACATCAAAAGAAGAATAACATCTTTTATTACTAGGTTTAAATGAATGTCTACAATGCTTTCCAAGTTGACAACCTTCACACTCCAGACTCGATAGACTAACAGACTCAAAAAGTTTTGGGAACAAAGAACTCAAAGAAGAAAAAGGTAAATGACCCAAATGATTATGCCAAAGCATAATTTGACTCACAGATCCTGACTCACTATCCCTGCTGACATGATGACTCTGATGAAGAGGAAGTACATCCAAGAGGTAAATTCCATTCACTTCACGACCACTCCCAATCGTCCTCTTTAAAACCAGATCCTGCAAAATACAACGTCCAAGACAAAAAAAATTACTGAGTAGTTCAGGTTTTAGTCAAACTACTAACAGATAACAAATTAGTACTCAATCTGGGAACATGAAGGACAGATGGTAGACAAATAGAATCACTAATCTTGACAAATCCCTTCCCAGTAATAGGAACATGGGATCCATCAGTTGTGGAGGCCCTGTCTCTGCCAGAACAGAGTTGGTAAGAAGAAAAAAAAGTGGAGCTATGGGTCATATGATTTGGGGCTCTAGAATCTATAATCCAAGGAGGTCACTCCTTACCTGAAGTGGAAACATAATGTGCAATGGCGTGTGAACTACCTGTGTGAGCAAAGGAGGTAGAGTGGACTCCACCAGTGCCACATGTACCTTGTTGTCCGCTTGCGGCTGAACTGGAACTGGCTGTATTCTGCTGGTTCAAAAGTAGCCCATACCTCTCAAGTTCGGCCCTTACTGCAGCAGCTGCAATAGACTCCAAAGCAGCTATAGTAGGAGGGGTCGAAGTGTCACCAGTAACTGCCACGTGTGCATTTCCCTTCTTATTCTTCAATCTAGTCGGCACAAGATGTGGGTGAAGCTTCCAACAAGTATCTCTTGTATGTTTAGGCTTCTTACAGTAGTCACAGATCAGATCTCTTTTGTCTTCTTTCTTGATTTCACTGCCACTTTGTTTAGGTTTCACAGCACTTACCATGGCAGACTGAGCGGAAAAGAGGTTTTTCATCATCACATCCCTCCTGCACTCCTCCCCCGACACAAAGGCATATGCTTGGGAGAGAGTGGCACTGTCCCTGGAAAGAAGATGTTGTCGTGCAATGTCATACTCAGGGTTAAGGCCAGCAAGGAATTCAAACACCCTATACTTCTCTAGATGTTTCTGATAGGCAACTACATCCTTAGTGGTTTCCCAAGCAAATGTCTCTAAATGGTCAATCTTCTGCCACAGGGTTTTAAGGGCCGAAAAATAGGCTGCAACAGATCCATCTCCCTACCTTGTAGCAATAATCTGATTTCTCAGTTGATAAGCCCTAACAACATTCTCCCTCTGTGAATAGGTTTCTGCAACCCCATCCCATATCTCCTTAGTCGTATTTGCCCATAAAAAATTTTTACTTATATGTGGCAACATGGAATTACATAACCAAGTAATCACCATATAATTCTCCTGCACCCACCGGGAGTTGCTAGTTTCGGGTTTCACCTCCTCACCAGTGATGTACCCTAATTTCCCACAAGCACCAATGGCCATCTTTGCAGATTGTGACCATTCCAAGTAATTTGCACCATCCAACTTAACTATAGTAATGGTCCCAGCCCCGAAGGGGTCTCCAGCACCTCCTCCCACTAGTCCCATTTCACTCCCGGGCTTATTTTCAACTCTGTGGCCCTCCATGCTTCTCAAAAAAGGTAAAGAAAATAACTAAAACTTGCAGCAAGATCAAAGAAAACACCTTTTGGAACCAACAACACTTTCTTGGTGTCATGGACTTTCTTCCCTCAAAAGATTCCTTTTCTGTGGGATGGGAGAAGAGAGAGAAGAGGCAGCCACCCTCTCTGGAAGCCTCCAAACCAGGCAGGACTTGAACCGCCCCTTACAAACAACCCCAAGGAACCCTAAAAAATTAGGGCGCCACTTCCTAGGTCAAAATTAAAGAGTCCAACAAAAACAAGACTCTTCCCCTTTCTCCAATTTTTCCTGATTCTGATGAGAAACCCTAGATCAGCTACAGGGCACACAGATCCATCAAGAAAATCCAAAAACTGGGCTTACCTGAGGGCTTCGATCAACCTCTTAAATCACCATGCAATCGGCCGATCTAGGGCTGCAAGAGAGAACAACTTCAAGAACCTTCGGCCTGCTCTCATACCAAGTAGAAATCACTATTTGTTGATTCAGTCAAGTTTCTTCTGAGAGAAAGAGGGGAACGGTGAAGATTTCAGCAGTAGAGAAGGAAGGAGAAGAAGAAAAGAGTAGGAGGTCAACTAGGATTGTGAGAGAGTTAACCCTAGCCACTTTCCTCTCATTATATTTATAATTAACTTAAAGATGAGATATTACAAGGATGCCCTTAGTAGGGCAGCTACTAAAACTGAACAGTCACAACTTTAAAAAATATAAACTAATGGGCCAAGGCTCAACAACTTCCTAACTAAATAAAAACAAACTAAAATAAAACCGGGCCACTCAACAGTAAGTTTGGATGCATTTATTCTATTTTGGTCATGCAAAGAAATTCAAACATCCAACAAATCTATTATACACTTTAGCAAATCTTAATTGCCTATCAATAGAGATCTTGAATCCGAAACAAAGAATAAACACTTGATGCATAATTAGAACCCAACAAACAATAATTGTCACATTACATAAAATTAGCACCAATACCATTCAAGTAACAGCATGACCAAGTTTAGAAGTATAGAAGAAAACAACTAGAGATAGATGAGATGAAGTCCCATAAAAGAAAATTTCCAGGAAAAGGGGGAAAAGGAAAAATGCAAAACTTTCTATTTATTAATCGTATAGGTAAAGATGAATAACAACATACCCGTATAAGTTTGAAAACTTTCGAATTTGAAAAACCAAACATATAAGAACCCGATTTATCGATCTCCTCAACTTTGCTTTCAACATTAAAGCCATTAGACAATTTGTTCTGCATCTTCCTTATCCTTTTATAAATTTTGTTCCAGCAAATAGATGGATTTGATCCTTTGAACTGTAGAAGGCAACAAACCAACAAAATATAAGTATACTGCAAGTCCTAGCAAATTCAATGAAAAATATTGTTCATTCATCAAAATATAAGTATAGTGCTAGCCAAGCAAATTGCATGAACAATGAAGGGAGCAACCCCTCCCTAATACAAGACATTTTTTAAAAGATAAGAAACTATAACTAAAATTACAAAACCATTTTTTGTGTATGGGTTAAGAATTTAAGACTTTAGCATGGACTTGTTTGGACTTGCCTCAAGGAGCTCGGTACAAAGGCGGCTTGTAGAATTACGAATGCAAAATATTTAACATCAAATTAGCTATTTGAAGTAAAGCGATTAGAAAAGAAATAAAGAGATTGAAATTTTCACATGATGAATTGTTGAATGCTTGAATATGTTTTATATGTCATGTTTGGTTCCAGGGGAAACACAGCTTTATACCTAACTATCAACATGAAAGTGCTCAAACTCTAAAGAAACCAATGCATAAAATAGGGATGCAACTATTTAAAAAAAAAACGAGACTAAGAAATATTGCACGCATAACCATGAAACAAAAGGAAATAATAATTAAATAAAAGTGAAAAATCCCAATGCATATTAGTCCATAACAAGAAGGAATTGAAATGATGTTTTAATAGTCAATCTATGACATGTGTAATTGTGTAAGTAACAACTAACCTGTTCTCCACTATCTGTTGTTACTCTAAATAGTGGCCGAAACCTTGATTCTGGATCTCTCAGCACCTCCATTTTATAAAAGGATTTTATACTTGGATCTGAACAAAAAAGAACATTATGCAGTGTGAATTAGTTTACCTCATGGAGAAATAAAAGAAAAGTAATATTTGTATGTATGTGCATATATCTCTATGAAATGAGAGTGGGTTGAGCATTTGTTAAATTTGAATTGGCTTGGTAAGTTGAGTAAACTCTTCAAACCAGGTACACAAATTACATCCCTAATCTATGTGCATGTGTATATATTCTGCTCGGAATAAAAATACAACAATATTATGAAAATGTATAACAGATGATAATAAGACATGTTATCTATGCATATCAACAAGGGCAACCGGGAGACAACAAAGCTTGCAACATTAGTCAAAGAAAAATAGCATGGAAAATGAATGGAAAACTTATGGAAATTCTTCACCTGTTGTTGAAGCAAACTTTCTCTCAGCAGTATATCCTTGAGGCCAGATGTACTTCTCATTCTGGAAAAAATCTGAGTCCCTGACAATCTTCCCTGTAGGATAATTATATGTTTAGAAAACTATAATGAGTAACCTTTGACCACCATCAATTATTATTTTCAAGAAGGAACATCATTTTTTATCAAAAGAAGGAACATCATATTACCAATTTAATCATTATCAAGTAAATGGGAATGCAGTTAACTGCTTCTAAAATACAAGGTATGTGCATGCAGTAAACTTGTTTTTCAGGCAAATCAATTATTCAAAAGAGATAACAATCATTTGGAATATCGAGAAATGAAAATCACCTAGGCTTATTACACGGAGATCCCCTAATTCAAGTGGACAAGTTTTGATGCCTTCCAGTATTTGCTGTCTCTCTCCATCTCCCACATTATCATTGTCAGAGTCATTACTTCCTTCATCTTCACCACTTGCATTCTCACAATCATCAGCACCACTGCCATTTTGCAGCCTTAACATTCTTTTTGGAAGCTTTTGTTCACTGAGGTACCTGTCAAATATGGTAATTTACAATGTGACAAAAAAGAATAAAAAACCAATGAGCTCTTGTATATGCATCCCATAAAAGCATTTTAATATGATGAGTAGGCAAAAAACATTGTGGATGCCAAATAACCAAGCTCTTGTAAAACCCACACTGAGGGACACGAGACACCAAAAGTGAAGAAAAGGCAAAACTAGATAGAACATGGAAGAAGGAATTATTCTACAAACTTGATGCACTAAAAGGAATACCTGCGAGATGCTGATCAAGAAAAAAAAGAAGACCTGCAAGTTGTAAGGATGTATATAATGCAATCACTGCATGTTATAAGTGCAGGAAAAAGGTAGAGTGGCATGACATGTGAAACTTAAGCCAGAAACAAGCTTACTCCTACACAAGAATGGGGTTCTCAGGTTTCACAATGGACAAACATGAATGGGGAAGGCCTAGGCCAGGACATGAATTGCAAAATTCAATTTCAGCAACAAAGCACAGTGCTCAGTATTATTGCCGTTTTCTTTTTACCTAACTATCTAAAAATCTGGATGGGATGTAATTTTTTCACAGCAACAAATCACCCTTAACTGTTGCTTATCTAAAAAAATATGCAGGGCATAGGACTCACTTTTAGAGTCAAGATGAAGTTCCAATTAACATCCTTGGTTTTGTAATCACAAGGCGGTATAGAAAAATCATTAAATGTTAAAGGACCAAGAACATATAGAAAGAAGCAATTTATCATGTATCATTCTTTTCAAGTTACTAGTAAGTGTGTGCATGCTTTGCACATGGCAATTTTTAGAGATGTGCCCAAATGTTTTTTTTTTTTATACTTCTGTGTTTTCATTTTTTAAATTTTTATTTTTATTTAATTAGGACACCTAGGGTTGACACAAAAGGTTGAATTGTTGACTCGCCACCAAACAGGAAAACAAATCCATTTTTTGTTTGGTTTTAAATTTGGAGTCTTAATTTTTTATTGTCTATAAAAATTATTCATCTTTGGAGTCTTAATTTTGTTTAATATGATGAATATACAATATTAAAGATGTGCCCAAATGTTTTTTTACAAAACTTTTTGTATTTTTATACTTTTATGTGTTTTCATCTTTCTAAATTTTTATTATTATTTAATTAGGACACCTAGTGTTGACACATTTGACCTAAAAGGTTGAATTGTTGACTCGCCACCAAACAGCAAAGCAAATCCATTTTTGCTTGGTTTTAAATTTGTATTTTATTTCTATTATTGATAAAAACAATTATTCTTCATCACACTTATCTTTCTTTAATATGGTTTATTAATATCTATACAATTATAAAGAGTATGAATGAGGATGTGGAACTTTTCTTGACTAAAATGCCCACATTTGTTATTTAGTCCATCTCTAATTATGAAGGCTGAAAATGTAATTTCAATTAATGCTTTTCACCCATTTAATCCCCTCTCATTAACTCTTGTATTTAAGGTATTAACTCATATTTTCTCTTATTAAATTCCATATTTAAGTTAATTTTTCAAAATGCTATTAATTAGATCTATGTCCGATACTTTTAACAATATAAACCCATATGTTTTAAAACTTACTAAAAACCAAAATCAAATTAGCCAACCCATGAAGTCATAGTTAGATAATTAATAAAATTTTTAAACAGAAATACATATAGAAAATTACAAAATGTAGAAAAATAAACACATTTTTTATATTTTTATTAATCAAATTAAAAAACAAGTGCAATAAACAATAATTATTTTTATTGATGATGAAAATGAAGTACATATCTAAAACTAACAAAAAATGAAATTATTTTCCTATTTGGTAGAAATCAATAGTTCAACTTTTGGGTCAAATATGCCAAGCTTGAATATCATGATTAAATAATAAAATATAAAAACACAAAAATAAAAAATACATAAATTTTACAAAAAAAACAATAGGCCACATGTATAATATCATATATTTAACATATTAAACAAAAAATAGGTGTAAATTACAATATTATTTTCACACACAGAGAAATAAAAAATATATATAGAAAAAATTGAATATATCTAAAACTCCATATTTACACTACTATTAAAAATATGAATAAATTTGAGAAACTTTCTTTTGACTAAAATACCCATTTTTGAATTTAATCCCTTTTTAATTGTGAGGTTTAAAATGTAGTTTGAATTACAATTTTCACCTCACTCAATTCCCCCTCTCTAAATCTTACATTTTTTTGATAAATAAACAAAAAAGTATACACTAGGAAGATAAAACATTACAAAAAGAATTGTCCAGCCCAATAGGTAGGCCTGCCAATGATACCCAAAACTTTGTAGCCTAATATGAGGTGCTTACGTAATCAGATCCAGATTTCATAGTCTGCATCCAATTAATAGTGAAAAACAAAAAATATAAAAAATAAAAAGTACATGAATTTTATACAAAATTTTGGATACATTATTCCTATCATTATCATCATCTAATTGCCACGTGCAAAGCACGTGCACGCTTACTAGTAGAATTAAATGAAAGAATGGGAGTTAATACCCTAAATATAAGACTTAAGAGAAATGTAATAGTTCAAATTATATTTTGTGCCCCCACAATTATAGAGTGATCAAATTCAAAAACTAAACTAGGGTATTTTAGTCAAGAATAGGGCTCAATGAATGTTAACGGGAATTAATAACTTCAATAATAAGACTCAATGAATCTTCCCACCAAACATCAATCCAGCAAGTCCAATCTGGGAGCTAAACAACCCCCTTCTTTTGCATCAATAACTGCACAGTGATAGCCATTACCCCAGTACAGTGCCCTAACAATCCACTTTGTTCTTAGGGTCAGCCAAACTCTTCCTAAACCACTGCACCCTAAATAATCCACTTCTTTCACATCAAGAGTTTACACAGTAGTAGCCATGATACCAGAAAGGTCATCTCCACTTTGCTCATCTATATAATTTTTTTATCCAAAAAAAAAAATGATACCAGAAAGGTGCCTAACCACCTGCTTGCTTCATTAAGAATAACATTGGGAAGACTTCATAGAAAACACTGCTCAATACTCCTTACCGTGTAGAGTTTCTGGGACTTCTCCCACACAGTTGACATTATCTTTTCTTGTCATCTTTTTTCTTTTCATGTTTCTTTTCATATTTTGATTGTATGGTGATGATCGACGCACTGCCTGTAATTGTCCCCACTCCCTTTTGGGTTTCTCTTGGATTCATGCATAGTTCTTGCAATGCCCAACCTGCATAGAAATCTTTCTCCTTGGATCACAGTATCAGACATAGTAAATCCGTTAGCGCTCTTATTTTGTGTAGGGTCATTTACTAAAACACACTATAGTTTTATAAATCTACTAAAAAACCTACCCTATAGTTTGTGCTTTACTAAAACATCCCCTATAGTTTGCAATCAATTTACTTAATCGACCTCCCATTATATGAAAGTGGAAAATGACAGTTTTAACACTAACATCCATTCAAATAAATTTAACGGAGAAGTATGGACAGGCCCAATGCAGATTTCTGATTTCCACTGCAGAGCTATAAACATTCAAAATGTCAACAACCCCCACCCAACACATCAATTCCCACCCGTGAATTGGCATCAATTCCGAGCTGGCACCCACACCAACTGTACTTTGGGCCTAACAATTCTGATCCTGGGCTGAACCGTCATTCTCCCTAAATTTAATCAAAAAAAACTAAAAACAAAAATGTCACTTTTGCCCCTAGTAAAACACAGACAACCATTCTATTTTTCTCTATTTGGTCAATTTTCTTTTCTATACAAAAAAGTGTTAGGGGTACTTTTGGAATAAACAACCATGGATCCATACCCTTGAACATTTTCCACTCGGTTTAAGGGTACTTTTGGAATAAACAACCATGGGTCCATGCCCTTAAACATTTTCCACTTAGTTTAAGTGATCATGTTACTATTTTCATTTAACAAAACAAATAGTTCTTAAAGATATATCAAAAAAAACAAATAGTTCTTAATGAAAGGTCAATTAAGTAAATAGGTTGCAAATTATAAGGGGTGTTTTTTTTGATAAATTATAAGGGGTTTTTAGCAAAATGAAAACCATAGGGTAGGTTTAAGTAAATCTGTGAAACTATAGGGGGTGTTCTAGTAAATAACCCTTTCGTGTATTTAGTATTAATGAGTCTTGGGGATCAAGTCATGTCTTTTCTTTTTTTCCAAGTGTTTATGAGTCTTGTCGGGAAGCATTTATTATCTTAATCTTTTGTATAACTGGTATTAGTACATAGGAATAGCTTTAATTTGACATGGGTTCTTTAAATAGTCAAGTATAGATTGTTTAGGGAAAATTGATTTCTTCTTTTCTTCATATATATCTTTCATACACAAGATGCAGGTTTAGAATGAATCAACATAAATTCTTTTTTAAGTCTTTTGCTAATGAATGTGCAGCTGATTCCATGCACTCTTGGATGATGATTATGAAGATTTTGATGGTGCTGATACCATTAATCGCTACTAGATCTGTTCTACAAGATCCAAACAAGAGGTTAGAAATTCCAATATCGTTCTTCTTTATTTCAATTCTCTTTTCTTTTTTGGAAGTATTATGTATAAAGTTTTGTATTGATGAACTAAGTCAAAAATTGCATCCATTCTGGGTGACAAACTATTTTCACGTTTGAGGAATCCCTTGCTGATCTAAACTGTATCCATTCTGTGCCATCATGTGAGAAGAAGATATTAATAAATACGGTAGGAATTTGAGTTTTAATCCTTTTTTCTAATTTAAATTGGCATGAATTCCCATTTCAAAACAAGTAGTTCTGCCTTTTGACAAGATAGAGGACTAATGACTAATTGACTAGTAATTAATATGCAAGGATATCAGAAAATAAGGATCATGCATTGGTTTCCCTACAGTAGATGCACCTACAGTTTTTAAAAATATATGTTTCAGATGATCTATTAATGTGCACCAAATTGAACCCAAATGGTAAAAACATTACACACGTAATAAGATATACAATTTCCAAAAAGGAAATCCTAGCCCTGATTTTATAGCTTTCATATACAGCAAGTTTTTATGCATAAAAAGGACCATTAATCAAAATCGGTCCTTAACCAAACCTTTGGCTTTTTTGTACAAAGCGGCGCTCTCAGACTTGAAACCACATTATCATGCTTGTGAGCCCACAGTTTGACCATGCACCAAGCAACAGTCCATACAGAAATTGCTTCTACATGCATTTGTTTAATTCAAAATAGGAAAACAATATTTGTTTATCAAGAGGGGGAAGACCAAAACAAACCTCATGCTAAAAGAGGCTAACCAAAAATACAAAGAAAAACCATCTGCAAATAAGTATATTACAAAGAGAGAATGATATTTTGTCAACCTAAAAAGAAACAGAATGAAAAACAACAGAAAAGTAGGGAACATTTTTTTGGTGGCATTACCACTCAGCAGAGCCCATTTGACAACTATCAGATCAGAAATAAGTGTTTCCTCTATTGCAGAGTAGTTGGGATGCTACTGCTTTTATCATTCTTTTGAATTTTGATGTGCTTTCTGTGCAGCTGTTCCTAAAAATCATCAACCAGCCACACTTATAATCTTTCTGTACATGGCATTTCCCCCTTTCCCATTAATAATGATATCTTCTCATTACCCAAAAAACAAGCAACAATTCAGCTTATAACCATTAGACACCATGCAGATCCCAAGATGTTTTCATTCCTAGGCATAACAAAGTTTTAAGTTATACTAAAAGGAACTTAGGAGAATAATACAAAATCTTTCCCAACAAAATTCGCTTGATGCAGATAAGATATGACTTAGATTATCCTACATTTGTATTTTTAATTAATTACTTGGAGGATCCTTATAGGTGATTAGGTTCTCACTCTTTCTCTCATTTTTAACTTACTAATAATGGTTGTAGAACAGGAAAAATCTTGAACCCTGTTAGCATGAGAGTCATTTTATCAGTTGAGAACAACTCCAACACTATTGGAAATCATGTGGATAAAACTCAACAGCAGCGGTAGTGGTCATGGAGATCAAGGACCAGCTAGAACTGCAGACTTTTTCAGAAATGATAAACAGCAACATAAATAGCATATCTTCTAGGGGCAGAGGTGATTCAATAAAGACCATTTGGTAGATGGAATAAATGCAGGTCTACAGTGACTTGTAAGCAACTAAGCATTACTGACCATCTTACATTTTTCCAAAATGTACTACAGTTAACAAAAATGGCAATGTTTTACATAAACGCATATAGAGCATTCATTCCTTCCACCATGAAGCAAAACCTTCTTATGTTAATTAATATAAACAAATAAATACTTAGATACATCTTGGAGATAAGCTTACATTTTTGCCTCTTCTAAGCTTCGACGGAAGCGTGTTTGCTTGCACTTGAGATGGTAAGAAGAAAGAAGGCCTCTAAGAAATGAAATGACCTGTTTTATACTAATCCTGGATAAACAAAAAGAATTAAAAAATGTTTAGAATAAATTTCACACACCAATGGAATCACAATGCTCATATTGATAAAACCAATCAACTGGATGTAACAAAGCTTGCCAATGTCAGCCCACTGGATGTAGAACACAAATTCTCTGTTTCAAGAATCTGGGAGGCCAACCCCAATAGAGGTCCATGGGTTGACTGGGTTCTTTGTAGCCCTTTTATAATAGCAATGTCAATTTAAGAAAGGGGGAGAGAGAGAGAGAGATTGCCTTGGCTAAAACCTCCAGTTTTAGGACATCTGAAAAATCCCAATCACATCAAAGCAGTAACAAACCTTGCAAAATCATGGGTTCCAAAAAATTGCACAGGAACAGATCTCTCTCCAGGAAATGGCTTCAAACCTTTACGTCCACCGAGATGTGATTCATTCACGACAACTGCTGGCCACATTGCATGACCTACAACAAAAAAACAAAAAAATAGTGAGAAGGTGATGCTACAAAGATGAGTAAGAATTTGGCAAGAACATCAAGAAGCAGTGGGCTGAGTTTCAGGTGGAAGGTTCTGCTAGCTTTCTGATAAGTTTTAGAAATTGCAATACCTGAAGAGCAAATAAAGGACTGAGGAGCCAAGCAAGTCGACTGTGAAAGGAATAAAAAATTAGAATACCTAAACAATATATAAGAGGTGGACTGGTGGACAAAGAAGAGGAAAGTGGGCCTGTTGCTGAAGAGCTATAATTAAAAAGACTGCAGGCTAAGGAGTTCGATTTGCTGGCATATAGAGATGAAGTCAGATGAAGACAAAGATCAAGGGTTAGAAGGCTAAAAGAGGGTGATAATAATACTTCTTTCTTTCATAAGGTGGCTAATGAGAGATTCAGATCTAATGCTATTAAGAAGTTAAAGGTGGAAGACAGACTGTTGGGACAACCACAGGAAATAGAGAGCCATTCTGAGGTTCTATGAGAAGTTATTTTCTGAATCTTTCAGGAGGAGAAATCGAAACTGGATGGCATCAACTTTGTGTGCCTTTCTTAATCACCAGCAGCAGAATTGGAACTCCCCTTCTCTGAGGCCAAAGTCAAAAAGGCTATTGATGATTTGGAAGGTGAGAAATCCCTGGGCCCTGATAGATTCACTATGCTGTTCTATAAAGATAATGGAAAATAGTTAAGGGTGGGGGGAATCCACCCTGGAAGCCTCTTTCCCTAGGCTTTTTAACCTTACCCTCGACCAAGAAGCCACTATTCCTTCCTGCCTTCCAAACCAAACTGCCAAGAACTCCTTAAACCTCCACCTCAGAAGACCCCTAAGGGACTCAGAGATTTCTGATTTAATAGCCCTAATTCAGACCCTCAAAGAAGCCTACATCTCCCCCTCTTATTCTGACACMCRAATYTGGRCCCTACACCCAAATGGAGAATTCTCTTCTAAGTCTATGTTCAGGGCTTTGATCGCTGATGA